ATTACTGCAAATTTCCCCTACTTTTTCCCAAATTTCCCGCTTTTATCCAAAGTTTACCCCCTTTTTACCCAAATTTCCCCATTTTTACCCCATTTTCCCCTCACGCAGAGTGCTGCAGCAGAACCCTCAGACCAAACACTCCCGGTCACATTTGATCCCTTTTCCCCGCTGTTATCCCCATTTTCATCCCAAATTTCCTCACTTTTATCCCATATTTCCCCATTTTTACCCCAATTTTATCCCAATTTTTCCCCAAATTTCCCACTTTATTCCTAATTTTTCCATTTTATCCCCATTTTCCCTCACCCGGAGCGCTCCAGCAGCTGAGCTTCCAGAGCAGCGCTCCGAGCTCCGTCGGGAACCGCGTCGCGCTCAGGGCCCTTTTATGCCAAATTTCTCTCCTTTTTATCTCAAGTTTACCCAAATTTCCCCATTTTTACCCCCATTTCTCCTCACCCGGAGCGCTCCAGCAGCAGCCGCCGTCCCTCTCTGGCCTGGCTGAGGTTACAGAGCAGCGCTCCGAGCTCCTCCGGGGACCGGACTCAGGGTCCTTTTATCCCAAATTTCTCACTTTTTACCCCAAATTTCCCCATTTTTAACCAAATTTTCCCATTTTCACCCCGATTTCCCCTCACCCGGAGCGCTCCAGCAGCAGCCGCCGTCCCTCTCTGGCCTGGCTGAGATTACAGAGCAGCGCTCCGAGCTCCTCCGGCGGCCGCGCCGCGCTCAGGGCCCTTTTATCCCAAATTTTCCTCAAATTTACCCATTTTTACCCCAAATTTCTCCATTTTATCCCCAAATTTCTCCATTTTATCCCAATTTCCCCTCACCCGGAGCGCTCCAGCAGCAGCTGAGCTTCCAGAGCAGCGCTCCAAGCTCCTCCGGGGACCGGACCGCGCTCAGGGTCCTTTTATCCCAAATTTCTCCTCTTTTTACCCAAATTACTGCAAATTTCCCCCACTTTCACAAAAATTTCCCACTTTTATCCCAAATTTGCCCCCTTTTTACCCAAATTTCCCCATTTCTACCCCATTTTCCCCTCACGCAGAGCGCTCCAGCAGCGCCCTCAGACCAAACACTCCCCGGTCACATTTGATCCCTTTTCCCCGCTTTTATCCCCATTTTCATCCCAAATTTGCCCACTTTTATCCCAAATTTCTCACTTTTTACCCCAAATTTTCCCATTTTTACCCAAATTTCCCCATTTGCACCCCAATTACCCTCACCCGGAGCGCTCCAGCAGCAGCTGAGGTTACAGAGCAGCGCTCCGAGCTCCGCCGGGGGCCGGACCGCGCTCAGAGCCCTTTTAGCCCAAATTTCTCCCTTTTCATCCCAAATTTATCCATTTTTTCCCCAAATTTCCCCATTTTCACCCAATTTTCCCCTCACCCGGATCGCTCCAGCAGCAGCTGAGGTTACAGAGCAGCGCTCCGAGCTCCTCCGGCGGCCGTGCCGCGCTCAGGGCCCTTTTACCCCAAATTTCTCCCCTTTTTACCCCAAATTACTGCAAATTTCCCCTACTTTTTCCCAAATTTCCCGCTTTTATCCAAAGTTTACCCCCTTTTTACCCAAATTTCCCCATTTTTACCCCATTTNATCCATCCCGGGAATTCGGGGCTCCCATCCCGGGAATCCCAATCCGAGCTCTCACCGCCCATCCCGGCCGGGCCCGCGATCCCGTGGAACATCCCGGGCTGAGGCTCGAGGGCTCCGGGCCCCGCTCCGCAATCCCGATCCCGGTTTTAATCCCGATCCCGGTTTTAATCCCGATCCCGGTTTTGATCCCGCTCCTCGTCCCGGTCCCGGCGGCTCCGCGGCGCTTCCGCCTCTTTCCGTACACCCCCTCTATCCCACAATCCCTTTCTTCCGTCCCGCCCCGCCCTCTCCGGCAAAACTCCACAGCCTATTGGTTTATTTTTTCCGCCTCTCCGTATTCTGGTTGTTGATTGGCTGCTGGAACTGTCACTCAAAGCTGTTCCCCTTTTTTCGATTGTCCCGCCCCACTCTGCGGCGTTCTGGACACCGATTGGCTCACTGACTAATTTCCTCGTCGCTGATTGGCTCTTTGAGCTGTCAGTCACAATGGTTGCCAGGCAACGCCGCCATGTCCGCTCCCCGTTATGGCGGCGCACAAAGGGGCAGCGGTGACAGAGCTGAGGGTGTTCCTGTTCCCGGTAACGGGAAATGACCCGGAGCGGCACCGGCACTGCCTGTATTTAATTGGCCTAATTAAAGCCGTCGCCTAATTAAAACAGTGGCCTAATTTTGGCCGCTTCTGAAGGCCCGCAGAGCGTTTTTCCGTACAATTCCACTTCCCACAATCCCTTTTTCCCGATGTCTCTCCCTCCCCTGTGGCGCACTCGCAGCTGATTGGCTCATCCATTCCGCCTCTCTGTATTCTCCTCACTGATTGGTTCTTGGACCTGTCCATCAAAACGGTTGCCAGGCAACGCGTCAACATTGGCTCCGTGCTATGGCAGAGGGCGGACAAAGTCCCACACGCAGCCGCAACCGGGGCTGAACCGGGGCTGGACCGGGGCTGTCTGTGTTTCTATGGCCTAATTAAAGCCGTGCCCTAATTAAAGCCGTGGTCTAATTAAAACTGGGGTCTAATTTGAGCCGTGTTATGACGCCACACGGCGCTTTTCCGTAAAACTCCACTTCCCACAATCCCTTTCACCCCTACGTCCCGCCTTTTCCTTCGCGCACTCTCTTCCTATTGGTCGGTTTTGCCGCCCAATCCCCGTTTCCGCGATGCTGATTGGCTGCCGCGCCCATCAATCTCGCCGTTGCCAAGCAACGCCACAGCGGCGGTAGAGACGAACAAGGCCGCCATCATGGCGGACGCCACCAACGAGGCCTCAGCGGCGGCGGCGGCGCTATCGGAGCTCACGGCGCTGCTCTCCCCGTCCTCCCCCGCCGCTCCCCAAGCAGCCGAAGCCGCTCTGGCTCTGTCCGGTAGCGACTCGGGCCGGGCGTTGCTGGCGGGACACCCCGCGGCTTTATCCGCCTTGGCCGCCATGGCCGCTTCGGCCTCCAGCGGAGCCCACACGGCTTTGGCCGCGCTGGTGAACGCGTCCGCCGAACCGGCGGCGCTGGAACCGCTTCTCGCCGCTTTTCCAACGCTGCTGCCGCTTTTACCGAGCTCCGGAGCGGTTTGCGGGATCGCGGCCAACCTGAGCCGGGATGAGCGGGCGGCGCCGCGGGTGTTGAAGGCGATGGGAGCCGGGGCGGAGGCGCTGCTGAGGGCGCTGAGCGCGGAGCGGCCGCCGGAGGAGCTCGGAGCGCTGCTCTGCAACCTCAGCCAGGCCAGAGAGGGACGGCGGCTGCTGCTGGAGCGCTCCGGGTGAGGGGAAATTGGGGTAAAATGGGGTAAAAATGGGGAAATTTGGGCTAAAAGGGCCCTGAGCGCGGTCCCCGGAGGAGCTCGGAGCGCTGCTCTGCAACCTCAGCCAGGCCAGAGAGGGACGGCGGCTGCTGCTGGAGCGATCCGGGTGAGGGGAAAATGGGGTGAAAATGGCAAAATTTGGGGTAAAATGGGGATAAAATGTGACTGGGGGTGTCCGGCGTGTGGGCGCTGCTGGAGCGCTCCGGTTAAGGGGAAAATGGGGTGAAAATGGGGAAATTTGGGGTAAAATGGGGAAATTTGGGAAAAAAGGGGGAAAAAATTGGGTTAAAGGGAGAAAATACGGGGGAAAATGGGGAGAAAATTGGGTTAAAAGGGGATCAAAAGTGACCCGGGAGTGTTTGGTCTGAGGGCGCTGCTGCAGCGCTCTGAGTGAGGGGAAAATGGGGTGAAAATGGGGAAATTTGGGTAAAAAGGGGGTAAACTTTGGATAAAAGTGGGAAATTTGGGAAAAAGTAGGGGAAATTTGCAGTAATTTGGGTAAAAAGAGGAGAAATTTGGGGTAAAAGGGCCCTGAGCGCGGCGCGGCCGCCGGAGGAGCTTGGAGCGCTGCTCTGGAAGCTCAGCTGCTGCTGGAGCGCTCCGGGTGAGGGGAAAATGGGATAAAATGGGGAAATTTGGGGATAAAATGGAGAAATTTGGGGTAAAAATGGGGAAATTTGAGGAAAATTTGGGATAAAAGGGCGCTGAGCGCGGCGCGACCCCCGGCGGAGCTCGGAGCGCTGCTCTGTAACCTCAGCCAGGCCAGAGAGGGACGGCGGCTGCTGCTGGAGCGCTCCGGGTGAGGGGAAAATGGGGTGAAAATGGGGAAATTTGGGGAAAAATGGATAAATTTGGGATGAAAAGGGAGAAATTTGGGCTAAAAGGGCTCTGAGCGTGGCCCGGCCCCCAGAGGAGCTCGGAGCGCTGCTCTGTAACCTCAGCCAGGCGGGAGAGGGACGGCGGCTGCTGCTGGAGCGCTCTGGGTGAGGGGAAATGGGGTGAAAATGGGAAAATTTGGGGAAATTTGGGTTAAAAATGGGGAAATTTGGGTTAAAAGGGCCCTGAGTCCGGTCCCCAGAGGAGCTCGGAGCGCTGCTCTGTAACCTCAGCCAGGCGGGAGAGGGACGGCGGCTGCTGCTGGAGCGCTCTGGGTGAGGAGAAAATGGGGTAAAAATGGGGAAATTTGGGTAAAAAGGGGGCAAATTTGGGATAAAAGTGGGCAATTTGGGTAAAAGTGGGGGAAATTTGCGATAATTTGGGATAAAAAGGAGAGAAATTTGGGATAAAAGGGCCCTGAGCGCGGCGCGGCCGCCGGAGGAGCTCGGAGCGCTGCTCTGTAACCTCAGCTGCTGCTGGAGCGCTCCGGGTGAGGGGAAATCGGGGTAAAAATGGCAAAATTTGGGGTAAAATGGGGATAAAATGTGACTGGGGGTGTCCGGCCTGTGGGCGCTGCTGGAGCGCTCCGGGTGAGGGGGAAATGGGGATAAAATTGGGTTAAAATGGATAAATTTGGGAAAAAAACAGGGGAAAAGGGATCAAAAGTGACCCGGGAGTGTTTGGTCTGAGGGCGC